GGGGAAATTCTATCGAACAGCGGTTAGAACAACGATTTTATACGAGACGGAATGTTTGGTAGTAAAATCCAAGACGGAAATAGAATAAGTGTAGTCGAGATGAAGATGCTGCGTTGGAAATGTGGTAAGATTAGAAATGAGAATATTAGAGGGAGTGTTGGATAGCATCCATAGTAGAAAAGATGGTGGAAAATAGGTTTAGGTGGTTTGAGAATGTAGAGAGAAGATCTGAGGACTTTGTAGTAAGAATAGTAGATTAGATGGAGAGTAGTCAAACAATTAAAGGTAGGGGATGACCTCGAATAGTCTTTGGAGAAACTATTAGGAAAGATCTTGAGATTAATGAGTTAGATAGAAACATGGTTTTTGATAGAACATTATGGCGTAGTTTGAGTCATGTAGCCGACTATACTTAGTGGATAAGTCTTGGTTGTTGTTGGGAAAATTGTGGTGTTATATCATATGTTTTGTGTGGTGAAGAGCGCTAATTTAGCTAGATGGATACATAATAAGCTTGTGTTTGGCTCTACATTGCGAAAATTGAATTTGTAAATTTGATTTTAGTTAAAACATAAAAGTGAGTTTAAGATTAATGGTTTATGTTTGGATATATTTACGTGAAAGTGAGTTTAACAATGAATTTAAGTATAAAAGTCACATTTGGAGGCAAAAGTTTGTGTGTGTTTGGTTTCACTTTTGGACGACAAAATCAATTTCAAAGGTGTAGAACTGATTATGACATGTTTGGATGTGCTCAGGTGGAATTGATTTAACTTGAAGTTTGAATTCACTTTTCGATGAATATATCCAAATATAAATAACTTTGTATCCAATGATTCTATATTTCACTTGTTCTTTCTATTTTATTTTTTTTATTTTTTTTTAATTTGACTTTTGTTTCCTCTTGTTTTTGTCTCAGTACAATGACATCTTGGGCAGGGGTGCCTTCAAGACTGTGTACGATTCTGACGCTTACTTTTTTTTCTTTCCTGTTCATCATGTCGAATTTTATTTAGAAAGTTCAGTCTTCTTTGATTATTGGTAGGGTTGTGGCAATTGTTTCTTAATAAACCACGCGATTTAATCTCGATTCCTTTTGCAGTTATAGGGCATTTGACGAAGTTGATGGAATAGAAGTTGCTTGGAACCAAGTTAGGATCGATGGCCTCTTACATTCGGTAGATGATCTTACGAAATTGTATTCCGAAGTTCATCTATTGAAGGCTTTAAAACATGAAAATATCATTAAGTTCTACGATTCCTGGATCGATGATAAGCAGAAAACCGTTAACATGATCACTGAACTTTTCACATCTGGAAACTTAAGACAGTACGTTCTCGTGATTTTAACCACTTTACTTTACGCCGGTTCGCTGCAATGTAAATATGAAACTCTTGTGATCCTTTGACTCTCAGGTACCGTAAGAAGCATAAGTACGTTGAAATGAAAGCGATAAAAGGTTGGGCCAGACAGATTCTTCAAGGTCTAGCATATCTTCACGGACACAAGCCGCCTATTATTCACCGAGACTTGAAATGCGATAACATCTTTGTGAATGGACACCAAGGAGAAGTTAAGATAGGTGATCTCGGTTTGGCCATTGTCATGCAGCAGCCAACTGCTCGGAGTGTTATTGGTAACACATTTTCTTTTCCTAAAATGTGAAGTTTTTATTGCTGATTCTACGAGGAACACTGAAATTTTTTAATTTTTTAATTTTTTAATTTCTATTTTTAAAAGGGACGCCTGAGTTTATGGCTCCCGAATTATACGAAGAGGAGTACAATGAACTCGTTGACATCTATTCTTTTGGGATGTCAATGTTGGAGATGGTTACTCTCGAGTATCCCTATAATGAATGCAACAACCCAGCTCAAATATTTAAGAAAGTTACCTCGGTAAGTATGGAAATCATCAACATCCGAATCGTATATCGATTTGATACTAAACCGAATCTAATTAATATGAATCTCTAGTTTGTATCTATTTTGGACATGAATCTCATCTTGAATCTTGATTCATTATAATGAGTTCTGATTTATTCTTATGAACCGCTATCTAAACTTAATGTATCTTACGATTCATTATAAGATTCGTTTCACGGTTTAAATCACAATTTGATAACGACAATGTATTCCATCGCAGGGTATCAAACCCGCTTCCCTTAATAAGGTGAGTGACCCTGAAATTAAGGAGTTTATCGAGAAATGCCTGGTTCCTGTATCCGAGAGATTGTCTGCAGAGGAGCTTCTTAAAGATCCATTTTTACAAATTGAGAGTCCAAAGGATCCGTTCCCGTCTCCTATTAAAACTCCAACAGCTACAGATATCCCCAAGTCTCGCCCTCCATCTATGGACATTGATGCTGACTACAAACAGTTTCCCGAAAGTATCTATGTTGAAAGCAACCAGGAAATCTTACATTTTCCTGTTTTTGAAGTCCAAAAGACTAATAAGAATAACGAGTTTAGGTTAAGAGGAACTAAAAATGATGATAACTCAGTATCATTGACCTTGCGTATTGCGGATACTTGTGGTGAGTATGTGGCTTTTCCTGAATTAGCTTATTTGAGTTTATCTACTAACATAAGCACATAAGCACTTGTGAGAATGCGTGATAGAACCTATGAAAACAGCTTATAGCGTATATGAGAACATTTTGAATTTGTTTATCATTTGTTAATGTAATAGTTTACGCATAAACTCTTGTATGATAAACACTTATGTTATAAGCGATTAGTTAAGGTGTTTATCCGAGCCGGGCCTGAATGGTTTTTGTTGTGTTACTTGCAGGTCGAATAAGGAATATACATTTTCTCTTTTACCTTGATACAGATACTGCCGTCTCCGTGGCCTCAGAGATGGTTGAACATTTGGAGCTGGCGGATCATGACGTGGCTTTCATAGCCGGCCTTATTGATTACTTGATAATGAAACTTCTTTCTTGGATGAAACCGTCTCATGATCATAGCTCATACGGAGATATAAGTCTTCGTAGTGGTTCTACGAACGTCGATAGCCAAATCTCAATGGCATGCCCTTGGAGTTCTACCCAAACTAATGTTCCCTCCGAAACACTTAGCTGTCAAGACGGCTTTTCCGGGTTTAATGTAATACCTAGAGAAGGTTTTGAGATAGATGGAAAGAGCTGTTCTTACAAAAACGCCGATCCCACCGTTTTCGAGGGTGCCTTTGATTCTTCTCCTTGTTTGATTAACTCGGAAGATGGATCAGGAACTTCTGAGATAACCGTTGACGACACTTCAATGAAAAATGACAATTGTCACGATTCCAAATTTCTCGGTGTTGAATGTTTCAAATGCCTTGGAAGGCCGATACCCGAGCTTGAAGTTGGGGACATGTATTTCGAAGACTGTAAATCGCAGGCAGTAGATTACAATGTTGGTAAAAGCACTGCAAACTCAGGATCATCAAATATTATGAGCTTGTTAGGTAGATGCTGCTCTTCTACGTCTTACACCGAAAAGGAAATTGATCTCGAGTTAAAGCTTGAACTTGATGCAATTGAGTCTAAATATCAGCATTGGATTGCGGAACTTACTAGAATGAAACTGGAGGCAATGGAAGCAACAAGAAAGAGATGGATGGCCAAGAAAAAGTAGCTGTTCATTAATTTTGAGCTTGTTGATTAACTAACAATGTAGGTGTGTCTGGTGTCCAACACGAATCAATCCTCGTGTCAAAGTCGTGTAACTAACCTCTTTTTGCCTGTCTCGAAGTTATTTCATTGTAAAGTTTAATTTGTATATTGGATGTGGCTCTTTTTTGCAGAAGTTGGTGTCATTAATCTCGACTCTCAGGATATGTTTTTTCATTTTTGTTTTAAGCTTTGGATATATGTTGTGGATCTCTCATTACATTATAAAAAGAAGGAATATCTAAACAATCTTACAATATCTATATGTTTTGTTTAACATGAACAATCCTCTAACTTTGTGTTCTCTACCTTTCTCTAACTTTAAACATTTTTTTTAAGAAAGAGGTAAACAAAGGGACGCATTAAACCGAACTTGTTGTCAAAATATGATGAGTTTTGTTGTTATTTGTTAATAAATGAATGATTGAATATAAAGTTCTTGTAAAAAAATTAAATCAATCCAAATTACATTGATTTAGTTTGGTCTGATTCGGTTTTATTTCTAAACACCGAACCAATTCAAATCATATGTTTTTTTCATTTATAATTTAGATGATTTTTAGCATCAAAACGGCATCTCGAACACTCCTAATTGTAATTATAAAATTACTTATGTGTTAAAGAAACTTAGATGATTTTTAACATCAAAACTGCATCTCAAACACTCTTAATTACAATAAAATTACTTATGTCCTAATTGCAATTATAAAATTACTTATGTCCTAATTACGATTATAAAATTAGTTTTGCGGCAACTTTGCAAATAAAAATCAAATAGAAAATTCAGTTTCAACCCACAAAAACCCATATATTTTCTATAAACTCCCAACAAAATTGCATATAAAGTTATCACATAATTGAAACCTCAGAAACCAACAAACCCTCACACAACAAAACCCAAAAGGGCAAAGGTATGTTTCACTTTCACTTCATCTTTAACCAATCAACAAAATTTCTTCAATCTAGCACAATCTTTATATTTGTTTGTTCTATTGTGTATTGAAGCAAAAAAGGGAAAACCCTTCTTTTCAAGCAACATAAAAAAATTGCATCATTTTCTTGCCAAACTTTTTTTAACCCCATCCTAATCAACCCCTTTTGGAATCTTCTTTACTCAATCATATTCTTTGCTTCAAAATTATTATTTTTTCATTGATTGAATTAAAGCATATCTTAAACCCTATTTAATAAATCATATAGTACCAATTATCAATTGTTTGCTAGTGTTTTGTCATTACTGTTTAATAGAGACTTTTGACCAAGTTTTTTTTTTTTAAAGTATTGATTTTTATGTGATATAATGAGTATGAGGTAAGGTGGTAGAAATTGGAGGATTCATTAATGGCGGATTTGATGGGATCACGGGCTTACTGCTGCTTCAAGTGCCAGAACCTTGTTGCTTTTCATGATGATATTGTTTCTAAAGATTTTCAGGTGAACTTTTCTTTTGAAATTTTGGGTTTTTATTCATGTTTAGGTTGAAAATGAATTAGAATAGGATCAGAAAAGAACAATACTTTTAGGTTTAACTTTTTGTGGTGAGAAAATTCAGATTTATATGAACAAAACCCTAATAAATGTTGGAAGCTTTACAAACATGATCCTTGTTCATGAAATTTATTTCAATGGTTTAAAGGGAATCATTTCATTTCAATACATGTATCATAAATTGGGGTTAATGATCTTCAACTAATGTCAAATCAACCCCCAAGGGTTAGCTTGTTGGTGAAAGCTTGGATCCTGAGAGTGTGTTTTTCTTAAGATCTCACAGGTTAGAATTCTCCGGTAGGTGCTAACAATCTTTGTGTTGGGTCAGTCCATAAAGACCTCTGTCTTTAAATTCCCCCGGCTAGTGAACGGTGGGATTAGTGGAGAGAGCTCTGACTTTAAATGGCCCTCCGTTAGTGGACGGTGGGATTGGTGGAGAGAGCTCTGACTTTAAATGGCCCCCCGTTAGTGGACGGCAGGATTGATGGACAGAGCTTTAGCTTTAAAAGGCCCCCCCGTTAGGGGACGGTGGGATTAGTCCCCTAAAATTAATCTGTCTCAAGGTCGGATACTAAGTTTTAAAAATAAAAAAAAAAACTAATGTTGAATTGATTAGAACCATTTGAGTTTGATTCGTAACTAAAACAATGATTAGTCAGACTTTACTTACTTTACTTGTCTCTTGACGGAACCTGGAGATAACTAGGGTCAATTTCTTAACCAAAGATTTTCAAAAGTTATGTTTAACAGGCAAGCAATGGGAGAGCTTTTCTGTTTTCTCATGCAATGAACATATTTTTGGGAGCAAAAGAAGATAGAAACCTGATGACTGGTCTTCACACAGTTGCTGATGTTTATTGTTCTGATTGTGGAGAAGAACTTGGCTGGAAATACATTAAAGCTTATGAAGAAACACAGAAATATAAAGAAGGAAAATGTGTGCTTGAGAAGTTCAAGATAGTTTTGGGAAATGGCTAGCAAACAAAATTTATTTTAACAATTGTTTATGGGGGGATTCCACAAATGCCATAGTTGTCTAATTGTGAATGTCTTTAGCGTGTAAATGTTGCTTGTTCGGCGAATACCGGCCGAAACCGGTATTAACCAGATTTTACTTATCTTCTGGCCGAACTCTGAATTATTATTAGGGGACGCGTCTCTTGAATTGAAAAATAAAATTAAGTTGTCAAATATATCTATCTCCTCAAATGTGAACAATTGAATTGTCGCTATCATATTGTACCAAAGATTCTCTTCAAGAAAATTACAAATATCATTTATTAGCCTGGTACAGAAGGCTTGGCAAATAGCATAGGCTTGTTGTTTTACACTTTTCTTTCAGCTACAATGACTGTTTAGATTCTCACTACTTATGAGTTTTGTTTGAGAGTAGTATTCATGTAAAACTGATAAAAAAAAGTGTGAATGTTAATCTCCGAAATTATTTTGGTGCTTTAATTAAAAAAAATGTTTATATTGATCTTTTAGTTCTTCGGAACGTTTTCGTCTAATTAAAAATGGAAAAATTTCAGAATTCGGTCGTTAAATCTAAAAAAGTCAATACGTTAATGTTAATGTTAACATACATACATGAAACTAGAAACGAGGAAGGCTAAAAACACTAACTTTTTAACACTTTTAAATTCTTTTTTTAAATCATATAGAGTCTCACCATTTTGAATGAGATCATTTTTAAATTGAGAGTCACATATTTCATTCAATAAGAATAAGAATGTGAACTTATGAAAAATACAATAAAGAGAAACTTGTTCATTGGATAGTCGCAAAAGGTTTTAAGAATGTTCAATATGTAAAAAAAGTGAATGATTTCTCTCAACTCTCAACTCTAAGAGTTGGAATATTTATAGACTAGTTTATGGGTTATGAGTGAAAAGTCATTTTCATCCTAGTTACTTTACCAAAGCGGGAAGATATGAATACTCAATTTTTTCATATTATTAGGAGGAACAAATTCTTCTTTGGAGAAGTATCAATAACAAAATTTTCACAAGAACACGTGGTCTGTCATATTCTAATAGCGTCATAAATTAATAACCCCGGTTTGAATAAGGTGCCTATGTCCCAAATAAGCTAGTTTAGATTAGGTGATATCATGACCGACCATGTCATACCCATACGATTTATCATCTAATTATAATGTTCGATTGATTGAGTTATGAGTCGGTCTCTTCCAAGACTCAATCAATATTATCCTAGTTCACAACCCCTGAAGCACAAGACTTGGGAAGGGAGAAATGATTTAGGCTAGCTGAAAGATAATTCATTTTTGGCTGAGAGTTGAAGAATTGAGTCTCTCAAACTGGGCTTGGAAAGCGAGTCCCTTAAGCGAGGCTTGGAGGATAAATCCCTCAAGGGAGGCTTGTTGGGATAGTCCCTCAAGCTTGGGAAACACATGAAGCATTTAATGCTTTGGTATAATGAGTTTGTTTTGGGATGGCGTAAATGCTATGAGTTACTGATTAAATTGCATGCGCAAAATCTAGGTCGTGGATGCTCTTCCATCTGCTAGTAGGTGCAAACCTATTGTCTGGTAATGATGACCAAATTTCAATCGTTTTTCCCATTTTTTTCTTCATGCCCACTCAACATTCCTCCAAGGAACTCTTCTTCTTCTTCTTCTTCTTCTTCTTCTTCTTCTTCTTCTTCTTCTTCTTCTTTAAGTTCAACTTTATTATCATCATCAACCCACATACTCAAGTATTGAATTTGTACTTCTCATTTACAATACTAAAAATAATACGTTATATGACAAAAGTTTCACCTCACCCAACAAAAAACTGAGGCATAAACCATGATATACATAATCGATGGGAAAACAAACTAAGGGACACACTTTGAATTCTAACAACTACATGTTATGTTTTTATATTTTTTATTTTATTTTTTATTTAAATATTAAGTCATATATTCCTTTAGTTAGAATTCCCCCCGAGGGAAAAGATTACTCACATTTTTATATAAAAGCATTTGTTTATTACGTTTTGCCCTAACCTAAATCATATTTTTCTGCTCCAAACTCGTAAACACCATTTTCTGAGATGAATATCAAGACAAAAAAAAATATTTTAAGGTTTCTTAATTAGTTAGAAAATCTTTCAAGGGTGTGTGTGTTGTTGTTGTTGTCATTGTTGTTATTGTTGTTAAATTCATTCATTGAAGAAACTAATTTTATCAACCTTGAACAAAATATTTTTCTACTCTTGATATTCGTCTTGTGGAACCTTGCTTTGCAGGTGATATTCTTTTAACAAGGGTGACAACTTTTGATGATGGCAACTAATGATGACTCCATTGTCTTCTAACAAGTTAAGCATAAGTGATTAAGCAGATAAAGATGCAAACCTAAGTATTAAGCCTTGATGGACTTGACTACCCGGTGATGGCAACCAAATGGAATACATACTCAACATCATCTCAAATAAACTCAAACAAGTGTCTACAAAAGAAAGCATCTCTCTCTCTCTAAGATTTTTCTTTTGCTTCCTCTCACTAATATTTTAGCCCAAGTGCTTCTGCAAGAAAGTTCTTTTGTGAGTCAGGATAAGTTGTAATTCTATAATGTAGAATTGTAAAATTCACCAAGGGAAGTTTTTATTTACACCTTGGTTGAATATTATTCATTTAGGGATTGTTTAAGTTAGAAACTAAATGCGAAAAAGCTTTTGACTTGGGGATTGTGTGATCAAGCCCTTGTTTAGGTTCGAGATCAGTATGTGGTAAAATCTCTTTAGGTTCCTGGTTAGTCCGTGTAAAACCAAGGTTTAAAGTTCATGAGCTCAATCTGTAGTAAAAGAAAACAAAGTTTGTTTTGAAGCTTGAAGACTAACCGCTTCAAGATTCTCATGAAAAGAATACTAACCGCTTCAATCCACCATATGGAAGAGAAGACTCAAATGTTAAATTCCAAGTCTTATTGTTTGGTTGGAAGTCAACCAATTTTCCTTGAATAAGGGGCTCATGATTATTACCTACTAAATCTCCAAAGTTTATTGAATACTCTCAAGATCAGTTCTTAGGGACATGACTAAGTCATTTTTTTATTGAACGTGTATAATTCTTGATGTTACTCTCTTTTCCTTAACTCTTTATTTTTCGCAATTTATATTCCGCTGCTTAATACTTAATTTTTCAAAATGATTTTTAACTAATTTTAATCCGCAAAGTTTTTCAAAATCATGTTTTTCGGGACCACACAATTCAACCCCCCCCCCCCCCCTCCCCCCTCTTGTGTGGGAAGTCACATGTTCAACAAGTGGTATTAGAGCCTAACTCCTACTTTATGACTAATCGTCTCAAGAGAAAGATGACTTGCGAGACACTTCCTAAACACACAATCATTTTTCAATGATAGTAGATTTGATACTTGGAAAGTCAGGTTTAGTTTTTTTTTCAAAGTATAAATCATGAATTATGGGAAATAATAATCAATGGTCTATTTATCTCTACTCATCAAGCAAATGATAAAGTAGTAGATAAACCATATCATCTATGGACCAAAGAGGAAAATAGTAAGTTTAAAATAGATTTTAAAACTAAGAGCTTTATAACAGTGTCTCTAGATGATAGCAAATTTTGTTAGATAATAGGCTCTGATCTATAGGGGATGTGAATAGATCTCAAATTTAAAATCAAACTTTTGGCAAAATGGTTTTCAAAACTTTTATGGCACAATGGAAACAACATGAATCCAATCATCTAACCGAACCTCTATCGAAAAGCTAAGATTTGCGTCAAGATATACAATTGAATGATAATGAACACAAATTGTTCAACAACGATCAAGCAAAATCAATAAAATGCTACAATATATATAGAGCTTATTTCCAATGATCAAAAAACACAAAAAATACAATAAAGCAATTTATCGAACGCTATGTGTGCAATCGATATCTTTTGAAAATTTGTTTTGTTTTGTTGATCCAAAAACCAATCACAATCAAAAGGATTGTGATTATAACAACAAAGTCAATTTCAAAATGTGACAAAAAATTAATTTCCAAATAACTTAATCAAACAACAATGGATTCAATAATTTACAAACACACACAAATTAATATATATATATATATATATATATATATATATATATATATATATACATACATACATACACACACACACACACACACACACACACACACACACACACACACATATATATATATATATGTGTGTGTGTGTGTGTGTGTGTGTGTGTGTGAGACATTGGATCGAACTCTAGTGTGGTCGAAGTCTGTTCGCAAGTAATGCGTGTTGTAGTCGAAGTTTGTTCTAACATGCATGAGTAAATATTGCTAAGGTTGTTAGCATGAGTAAATATTACTAAGGTTGTTAGCATGAGTAAATATTGCTAGGGTTGTTAGCATGTGCTATTTTATTATAAATTGGATGCTAGTTTCTCAATCTTGGCATAAGGAAAAATAGGAAGATAAAATCCTAATTTCAAGGGAGAGAGGTTATTTTGTTATTCTTGTATACTTGTAATCTTGTTCTAAGAGAAAGGAAAGAATAGCAGTTTAATAACCAATCCTTGTTGTTCCTTGTTGTTTTACCTGTTTTCTTTGTTAACCCTAACCCTTTGTGAGTTTCTTGATCATTAAGAAACTGTTTATACTTTGTTTAAAGGTATCCGATTCACAACAAATTGGTGCGGTGAGCGTGGAGAAGATGCCTTCAACAAAGTATGAGATTGAAAAGTTCACCGGAGTGAACGACTTTGGTCTGTGGCGCTTGAAGATGAAAGCCCTATTGGTTCAGCAGGGTTGTTTGGAAGCGTTGAAGGGTGAGGCAGCCATGGACGCTGCGTTAACGGAAAAAGAAAAGACGGGCATGATCGAGAAAGCCCACAGCGCAATATTATTGAGCCTTGGTGATAAGGTTCTTCGACAGGTATCAAAGGAGACTACAGCATCGGGATTATGGGTGAAACTTGAAAGTTTGTACATGACCAAATCTCT